ACAGGGAGCGCCAACGGGACCAGAGCCGCTCGCGAGCCGTCGTGGCCGTTTTGCCGTAAACCCCTCCACCGCACCCGAACGAACAGACATAGCCGGCGCGCTGCGCAGGCGCAGTCAATGCAGCCCTTTCATTCGGAGAGGCGGAAGATCACGTGAACTTCTTTCCCGCGCTCCCGTGGGACGCTGTCCGCGTGAAGGCACCCCTGGCGCATGCGCAGTGAGCGTGTCGAGGCAGATCCCGCGCAATTCGGCGACTTTGTGGACGTGTTTTTGGTTCGCCGCACTCAAACCTGGAGATTTCACGGTAAGTGCATTACATCCCCTTCCTTGAACTGTTTGATGAATACCTGTCGCACCACTGTTTTCTTAGATGAGTCGCGCTGTTGTCTGGATTCACTATTATGCATTGCTCGACACAAGCGTGTGCAGACGATGTGCGCCTCGCGCTGGAGGTGCGTAGCGTTTAGGGTAACGGGGTCTTTGCCTTGTTGCTTTCGAGTGTTACTCTAGCATTATCACGAGACGTAGTGTGTCGGTGTTCTACGTTTTTCTTGCTCCCTTCTTAGTTAAATATTATTCGGCTACGTGAAACGCTCTTGGTTTAGCGCTCCGCTGGAAAGGCAGAGGTCCCTGGTCCGGTTCGAGGACCATGCACGCCGCTTTTTCGGTAGCTGCTTGTTCGACATAACGTGCTGTTCAGGTGCAATTTGTTTCGAAACATGCAAAGCGACACAGTGCAATGAGGTTTCAAGTGCCCACAATAATATACTATATACGTTTGACCGAAGTGTAAAAAACTAGTGCCAAAATTTTCTCTTTTTTTTGTTCGTTTGTGCCGAGCCGACATTTAGCTTCCGTGCACTCTCATATTGTTACGGTAGACTTGTGTGGATTTAGGAAACTTTAAATTGATCGATTCGACCTTCGTGTCTAACACTGCCAGTACTCAAATCCTTTGCAGTACGTCTTTAAGTCCGCGGTCTTTTTTTTTTTTTTTTTTGAGTTTGTTGAGTTTAGTTTTCTCCATTCTTTGGTGCGCTACTGTGTAGCGACGGCGCCGGACTTTACGTAATGAGTCATGACTGAAACACATTTGCGAAAAGCGGCCAAATTGTATGAAGAAATCGCAAACGAAAATCGGACAGCAACTCCTATTGCCTTCTTTTTTTTTTTTTTTTTCTTCTTCTTTTTTCTTTTCTTTCGGCGGGGGAAACCCGGAGGGGGACGGAGCGATGTCGCAACGTTACTTCGGGAGTTCCGTCCGTTCCGTCCCTCTCCGGGTTTTCTACGCTATGGCGCAGCCAGCGCAGCCGCGGCAGCCGCCGAGGCTGGTTGAGTGTTTCCGCGGTTTTTGATCAGCTTTGTACGAAGACTGATTTTCGCTGATCTTTGTCTTGTTACGTGTATGTGGTGAACGGAGCATTGCGGAGACTGAGAATTATGTGGGCTGTTCGCTGTGTTGTGGCATTCGGGCAAAGCAAGATCGCGGTGAGTTTGCTCGTGTACAGTCGGCGGTAAAAGTTTGCGGGGCGCGGGAGCGTCAGCCGAAATGACTGGTTGCGCCTTCTGCGGCGCGCGGCCGCTCTCAAGATTCACGCTTCGAGAATGTGCTTCCTTTCGTGCTCGAAGCCATGACTTTTTCGCTCGCTTCCGCCCGACGTGCACGAGATAACCGGGGACCGGCGCAAGGTGCCGCTATGACAGCCAGCACGCCGCGCGTCTGCCTCAGCCACCGTGATGGGTGACGAAACTCGCGCATGCTACAGATAACATTTCGCGGCACCTTGCGCCAGTCCCAGTTATACATCGTGCGTGTCGAACGGAAGCGAGCGAAAAAAGCATGACCGCGAACAAGAAAGGAAGCGCGTGCGCATAGCGTGAGTCTTGGAGCAGCAACGTGCCGTGAGAAGGCGCAGCCAGTCTTTTCGGCAGGCGCTCCCGTGCCCCGCAAACTTTTGCTCCCGACTGTACGTCGGCCGATGCTCGTGTCGGTGCACATCTCAATCTCAACTAAACATCGAGCGCCGATTGTGGCTGACTCCATGCATGTAAGAACGAATTAATCTAACAGGAACTTCGTGAATAAGAACGAGGCAAGCGTGTGGCTGTAGAAGGATGTCGTGACCGGTGGCATACGTACACTGGTTTCCGCACGTTGCTTCTGTTTACTTTATCTGTTGTAATAGCAGTCTTTGTACCGGTGCGTGAAGGCCTCAGTTGCTTCGAAAACCAAAGCTGATACAGCCAGTCTCTTTTTATCCGATGATTCTGTCAAGTCCTAATCACGGCGTCATATATATATATATCTATATATATATATATATATATATATATATATATATATATATATATATATATATATATATATATATATCAAGAGTGCACGTTTGGTGTTGTTTGCATTAATTTTACTGCGGAGGACGTTGCCTTTTGCGCGGGATCAGTCTTCTCGTGTAACTTGTCTTCCAAATTTGCTTGCAACAATTTTTGCACCCTCCGATTTCCGTTCTATATTCGGTTTCTTTTCTTGTAAATGTGTTTCAGCCTTAACATTTTGCCGCGGCGCAGCTCTGTTCAGAGAAGAAACGGTCTCAGCACAGGAGGGTGCACGAAGCGCGTTGTGTGTTTAGAAAAAAAGATAATGAAATTGGGCAAGAAATAATTTGGTAACTGCACCGTAATAAGTGGCTGCCAGCAGTGGAAAAAAAAAAAGAGATATGTTGCCTTATAGTTGGAGTTAAGTCATCTGCCTTATTGTAGTATTTGAGGTAGAAAGGAGAACAAACTAGATGCCTGGGCCGGCTTGCAAGAGACAGCGTCTCGGTTCAGACTGCTCAAAGAAAGCGCTGCCAAGGCTCGGGCGCGCGAGCGTCTAGGACTCGGTTTAAGCTCTAGCACTAGCCTTGACAGCGCTTTCTTCGAGCAGTCTCAACCGAGACTCTGCTTCATGCAAGCCGGCCCACATATCTAGAAAACCAAATTTCTGCCCCAAAAGGTGGTAAAAAAAATGTGTCACATTACTGTGCAATTGCGGGGCGTTAGCGTGAAACATTTTCGCGATAGACTGCAACGCAAACAAAAAATGGAAAAGAGCAAGAAAAAAAAACCAGTAAGTCAAGCGCGAAATGCTAGGGAAAGGAAGGTGGGAGTGGAGGAAGCAGATGGATAGCTGGCAAGGAGAGGAGGAACTTCCCTTGCCAGCGTTGTTTACTTACTCCTTTCCATGTTCCTTTCCCTTGCCCTTGGCAGCAGTTTAAATCAAATAGCGCTGCGTCGTCCTGGCTTTCATTGCACTGCTCAAGCTATGAATGACAAGGTGCTATACCATTCCAGCCCAGCTCTGTTCACCTGACCTCTCAAGCCAGATGCACAGAAACGAAAACCTAGCCGAACGTTTCACATGACAATTACTGCGGCCATCCATATCACTGCCCAATGTTAGCATGCTAGACTGTAGCTTCTCATGGCTCGGGCAACCTAAAAGAACAGGGAAACATAGTTTTGTATGTTAAGACTGGACGACAAGACGACACGCACGCTGCAGGTGTAGACAGGCAGGTGCAGGTGTTCTATCTTTCTGGTGTAAATAGAAACATTGCCTTCAGATTAACACAGAACATTGAGGATGGCTGTTTTGCACTTCAGTTTAAACACAATGTTAGTTTTGAAACTTGATGAAAGCTCACGTTAAGTGCTTTATAATCCTTACTGTGTTCATTTCTAGATAGGTGTATGTTTATGCTGTGTGTCATTATCTTCACAAGCACAGTTGATTTAATGTTCACTGACTTCAGTTGTGGCAGGAATAAAAAAATTTGGGGTCAAAGATTAATATCTTTGGATTAGGACTTCGCCATGATTGCTTCGAATATTGGTAATGTTTCAGGTACCTTTATAAAAATGCAAAGATCATGTGTTTAAGTACAAAATCGTGGAGAGAAAATTTTTTTTTTTGCAGATCTTGGGACTTAAAGTAGACCTTCAATCCGAAAAAAGAAAGCCAAATTGTTCAGCTCTCATGTCGTCTTAGGATATTGTATTTCTCAGGGTCCCAACAAACATGTTCAATATTAAATCAACTTGAAATAAACCAAGCACTCTTTTTTGGTTATAGATGAGACATCACTGCAAAAGATGCCAGAAAAAGTTTACATCATTGGACACGTTCTTCAAGCACACATTATATCATGAAACGTCATCAAGAGGTGTTCCATGCAGCGTTGTCGGCTGTGAGGCTGCATTCAAAAATTACAACTCATTGCGAAGCCACATCACAAGGTGTCATTCTCCGCTTGCACCTCGTAATGCAACTAACTTCCAATCCTGCCGGACATGCAGTGTTAGTTCCTGCAGTGAAGAGGTGAGCCCTGGAAAGGCTTTTATCGAGCACCTCAAAAAACATCTCACCGTCAACCCGCCAACTGTTGTAACTTGTCCAATTGATGCGTGTGATAGCCAGCTTAGGACATGGGGTTCACTCAAGACCCATCTTTCCATATACCATGGGAATGGAAAAAAAAAATCAGTGGTGACAGAGCCAGTAGAGCAGGATGAAATAGTGACGTCATGCTGTAGCAAGGATGACAATGGTCTGGAGAACATTAGGGAAAAACCAGACGTTGAGAGTGAAGTGCCTTCAGTCATTGATGATGTGGATCCCACTCACTTAGATCAAGACTCTTTCCTTGAAAGCATGGCCCTTTTTACTTTGAAGCTTGAGTCAAAATATTTGATCCCGTCCTCAATCGTCCAGGATATAGTTGCTGACGTGAAAAGACTTCATGGCATTTCACAGGAGCATCTTATGACTGATTTGAAAGCTCACCTAACCGATAAGATGTCAAGAGACCAAATGACTGAGGCAATTGACCACTCCTTTGAGAAGAGTCCTTTGTCTGTTGCATTTTCAAGTGATGGAGCTCTTCGCTCAAGCTACATGAGAAATGTTTACTACACTAACAAACTTCATCACAATAAACCAGTCGAAATATCTCTTGGATTAGACTATTCCAACGAAATGCGACATTACAGCTATGTGCCCATAAAGGTGACACTTCATTCGCTGCTTTCTAACCCAGATGTACTGTGCAAACTCTCTTTCAACGCGCAGGGAGGCAACGATGGTGTGTATCGGGAATTCACAGACGGCAAAGTTTTTCAAAGCCGGATATCATCCGATGGCAGTACTGTATCGGTAATCTTATACCAAGATGCTTTCGAAGTCGCCAATCCCCTTGGATCAGCCCGTGGAAAGTTTAAAATGTTAGCGGTATACTTCACGCTTGGAAACCTACCAGCTTACCTCAGAACCGTAGTTGACCCTCAACAGCTTGTTTTGCTTTGCCATGATAAAGACTTTAAACACTTTGGTTGTAGGAAGCTCTTCGAGCGACTCATCAGTGACCTCCAAGATCTTGAAGATGGCATCACAGTGAACGGGCACCGTTACGTTGTGCAGCTTGCTTTTATATGCGGTGACAACCTTGGAAGCCATAGCATTGGTGGCTTTGTGGAGAATTTCAGCAGGGCCTCTTACATATGCCGGTACTGTGTTACAACCATGCAAGATTTTAGGAACAACAAGCCAGCAGAGCTTCGAACTGTTTCATCATACACTGAAGCAGTCAACCGTGCTAAGGACAGCCAAGAACAGGGTTTTATGGGAGTCAAACACGACTCTCCATTCAACAAGCTTTCAACATTTCATGTCTGTCTTCCTGGGCTCCCGCCATGTCTTGGGCATGATCTTTTTGAAGGTGTTGTTGACTACGACGTTGCACTGATGATAAAATATTTCGTGAAAACACTGAAATGGTTCTCTTACCACCATCTTAATGCAACAATACAGTTCAAATTTAAGTACAACGCGTGTGACCAAAGGAACAAGCCAGCTCCAATGAACATAAGTGGTAAAAAGCTTGGAGGCCAGGCACTGCAAAACTACACTCTTTTGTTACTTCTACCAATAATGGTGGGAGACAAAGTTCAGGATGCAACTAACGAAATGTGGCGTCTCCTTTTGACTCTCCAACAGGTTGTAGAACTCGTCATGGCAACTGCCATTTCAGATGACCAAGTGTCATATCTGGCACTCTTGATCAGTGATTACATCTGTGAGAGGGTAAGGTTGTTTCCAGCTGTTCCACTTCGTCCAAAGCATCATTATTTATTCCATTATCCTTATCTCATTAAACAGTTTGGACCACTCGTGAAAGTATGGTCTCTCCGATTCGAAAGTAAGCACAGCTACTTCAAACGTTGCATTAGAGCATCTGGCAACTTTATTAATGTTACGAAGTCACTTGCTCAGAAACACCAGCTCCTGCAGTCTTACTTGCAAAAGGAAGGCTTGTTTGGACCAGCTGCGGCGTTCAGTGACCTGACTCCTGCATCTGAAATAGCCAGTTTCGACAAAAACTTGTGGTGCTTCATTCAGAAAAACTTGCCCACTAGTCATGAAACCTTGATGACTGCTTCGTCAGTGACACTATGTGGCACACATTACAAGCCAGGTTCTTACATAGTGCTTGGTGGGGACCAGTACAACCTGCAGTTCGGCCAGCTTCTGCATATTGTGGTAGAGTCTGGCCATGAGGCAACTCCATTACTTCTTGTGAAAAAAGCAGCGTCTGCATTCCTCCCAAACTTCAGGCTCTACAAGTTGATGGAATTGGAAGTGGAAGAGCTACAGTTGTTGTCTTCCTCTCAGCTGATGGACATACATGCATATGTCCCGTACAGACTCCTCAACTGTCTTGTGATCAGGCTGCGGAGTTCACTATTGTTCGACGATTTTGAAGGTATGATACCAGTGATTTGTGTGGAAATTACCTTAAATTTAAAAACGGGGGACACCCTGCAACTCACTTTTTCAGTATAGCACAGACAATTGGAAAATGTAGGCCAAACAAAAAACCTCTAGGCAGGCTTTTCTAGTTTTTTAAAATATATTATATCATTCGTTGCAAGTTTTTACTAAGGTGCCTTCATGTGCGCTTCGCATAGGGTGATGCCAACTGCCTGTTTCCCTTTCTCACACCCTCGTCCACCGCCATTTTGTTCCTAATTGTTTCCCCGTGCGCCGAAAAGTGGCCTTTGTGTCCATCGGTCCTCCCATCCGAGGGGGGAAATGCTAATCCTCCCTCCGTGGGTTCCACAACGCTGCTCCGAACTTGTGAGATAAGGTGCTTGTTTCCGGGAGGGTTATAAGCCCACGGATTATCGCCAAGGACCAAAATGGCTGCTGGTTTGTCGGTGAGTGGTATTACAAAGGGTGGCATCACCCTAGCAAAGCGCACATGAAGGCTCCCTAGTTTTTACACCCGCAATGTCTAATAACTTTAATTTGAAGTAGTGGGGAGTAACGTAAATAGGTTTCCATTTGGAAAAGTCGTGAAATTATCAGGGAATATCGTCAAAACGTTGGCCCCACCAGGGAAAATGATCAGTAAAAGTGGAATGGCAATGCGGAACAAAGCTAGATGGTTGCGCATGAGCACAGCCATGTCGAATAATGTTTCTGAAATATGATCCTTTGACCCGCAAATGCTCACGGGATTTTATCAAAATAGTCAAGGGAAAAACTGGGAAAAGTCGGGGAATTTAAGATCACTAATTTTGTAGACACCCTGTTAAATTGTAGCAATGCTTTACCAGCTAACTTGCACCCTTATTTTTTTTTCTAAATTACAATTGTTTTGTAGCATATAACATAAACTTTGCATTTGTACGTTCACTGTTTTTCAGATGATAGTCAAGATCTGGAGCCTTGATAAAACAATAAAGAAACTGGCAGTGGTTGCCACTTTCGACGCCATAAAGAAAAAGGCCATAGAGTTCGGTATATGCTGCAATGGAGACATCAAGGTTTGTAAAATAATTTCAGCAGTTGAAATTATGTACTTAGCCATTCTTATTCTCAAAATAACATACCCTGTTTCCAGGTACACATGCTGGATGGAACGGAGGTGGACGAAGAAGCTTTCAATTGTTTGAATCAGTCATCTGAGGATGCTACTTACACCTTCATTGCAACAACAGATTCTTGGGTGTCAGGCAAGTCCAAGCTTGAATTTACTTTAGGAATGGGGGAGTAGTAATTTTTCAGTTAAAAGCAAATGTGAAGCAAATTATAACGTAATATGAGAAATGAAAAATAACTTCGAAACACCTAATTTCATAGAACGGAAAAAAAGAACTTATTTAATTGATAAAGGTTCCCTAGCAAAGTTTCTGCCAATTAGTCTTTATTTATTATGCAGGCAATTAGCAACAGACGTGCAGTATAGAGTTTTTGCTTCAAACGTAACACTTCGATGGCCTAGTTAGAAGTTTCAAAGACTGTAACCACAAACTACAAAGAAATGCACTTGGATTATTTTGCTTGGAATTTTAGTTACACAATATAATAGCAATATTTATTAATATTCTAGAATATGTCTACTGTGCAGAAAAGTGAGCTGGTATTCTCTTTCGAGAAATTGGAAAACCTATAGGTACTGTGCTCATCGTGTTTTGTAAGCGAACACATGAAAGACATAAAAAGTTAGCTTATTGGTCTTCTCTGACAAAACTCAGATGCACAAGAAGAGAACAAAACAAGCAATGACACTGGCACCAGTGGTTGTATTTACCGGAATGAATAGCCAACACTCTTAAAGGCTGACGAATGCAAAACGATTAGGAAGCTGTCCCTCGCTTTCCTCGTTTGCACCCCAAAGAGGAAGAGACACTGCCTCCTCTCTGTGGGGGCTAGTTTTTGGACATTCTGTTTTCGGGGAAAGAGGAGAGAAGAGTGCAAGAGGGAGGGGAGAGGACACTACGGGAGGGATTTCAGCCATGCAGAAAGTGCTCCCTGTGCATCTGCCTTTAAAGGGAAGTAAAGAGGTTCTTAAGAAAACTGAGTTTGAGCCAGATTACAGCATAATGTTATCCCGTGAATCCTGAAGATTAACTAAATGCGAGAAAACTCGAGAGACCTTAGGCCGGTCGTTGCGTCATATCCAGATTTTTCGGCCGCCAAGCGCGTTTTGCTCATGTGGGCAGCACATGGAATTGCAAGCTTGCCAGGTATATTACCCTGCATGTGACACTGGTTGTGACGTTTTTGTCTGGCCTTTCTGACAATATCAAGAGTGCACGTGCATAGCTTTGATGGGCATTGTAGGCACGCAAGAGCAGAAGTTCCGACAAATCTGGGTATGATGTCACGCTCAGAGATGACAGGGCTTTGGCGCTATTTCCAAAGCACTGTTACGACTGCTCCTCGCATCAGACTGAAAAATAATTCCAATGTTCGTGGTCTTGGGGGCCAAAAGAAGATAATTAAAGTGTTTAATTTTTCGAAAATACAGAACCACTTTAGTTTTCCTTTAAGGCTTGTCGCGGCAAAGCACACTTTTTTGTTGTGAAGCACAAAAAACAGGTCCACATGCCAGTAGGCTCATACGAACGGTGGATCAAGCTTGTTGAAGGGCACATCAAACAGTCGGGTGGTGCAGGCTCTTTAAGGGAAGCCATTTGTATCAAATAACTGGCAAAGATTGATCATCTCTAGGCCTTCAAAAAGACCAAAGGAAAAAAGAAATTACTTGCTTGAGCTAAAACGTGTTTGTCAACCTTGCTGGCCTAGTCATTGTTTTAACTTGTTCTCGAACGTTTCGTCAGCTTGTACAGCTAGCTGACACCATCTGATATGATGTTGCAAGGAGATACTTTACAAAAGTATGTCTTTGCAATCGGATGAGGCGGGATGGCGGTTGTTATGATAAAGCCAATTTCCTACTTTTGATGATTACATAAGTACCATGTCTTTTATGTGTACCTCCCTCAAGCTCCATTGCTTTGCATCGTTGCTCTGTGGTAGAGCATCTTGGTGGCCCGAAGTTTGGATGTCGACCTCCTTCAGTTACTGTCGCATTGTATTTTGAAATACCACAGCCAAAAGAAATGTTCCCCTAAGTTTAAACTGAATATGGTGCTGCACTGTTATTTTATTATCACTATTCTGTTCTTTGTCTGCCTCTTTTGGAATGATGTTTCGCTCTTCGTTTTCAGGTCAGCAGGGGGATGTAACATCAACACAACATGAAGGTGTCGATGTGCCTTTTGGTTCACAAGTTCAGTTTCCCTGGAGCAGCCTTAGCAAAGACGTCATGAAAGCATTGCAAGAGGGGACTCAACTTAATCCGACTGACCGACAAGAAGTTGTGCGCATGGCTGCCGCGGCCTGTCAAAAAGTCAAGGCTAGACCCTCTGCACGTGAAATAAGGAGTGCTGCCAGTTACCTTGCTGACAAGTACCCTGGGGCACTTGGGGACCCCACTTCCTGCTCAGCTACGTCAGTATCTTCTGTAGGCCTGGCCTACAAAATAGAGAACAGAATAGAAAACAACAGAAGAGGATGCAAGCGCCTTGTGGAAGCGCTCAGTGGTGGAACCATCAAGCTAAAGAAGCAGACATCTCGATCAGCTTACGGTTGTGTGAACTGGCAGCCAGCTACTACGAGTTCTTCACTTCATGAAGTGGAAGCCTCAAGAAAGTTTCTATTGGACGAGGCATTGAAGTCGACATGTGAACAAGACGTTTGCCTTCAAACAAAGGCCATGGCTGAGTGCTACCCCCACATCAGGACGTTCATAAATTCGTCAGAGCCTCCATATTCAGCATTGGATGTCAAACGAGCGTGGCCACTTCTGTTTGTGAGGGAGCACCTCCTTGATCACTTCCATAGGTATAATTTTCATAAATATTTGTCCATGAGTTTACTCAGGTTTAGAGTTATTTACAGGGTGTCGAAAAATGCAAAGCTATAGTTATAGAATTGACGGCAATGGGAGCTGCAAATTTGACAAAAAAGTGTTCCTTTTATTATTAACCATTATAATGCTCGAGCTTGGTGGCCACTGTTTTAGTTGCATATGGACTAGGGCAGCGTGAGTAAGCAATTAGAATGTGGGGAATATCATTAACTATAAATGTAACTATGGCTTCAATGTTCTGGTAGAGCAGTCACAATAGCATGTGGTAGAGGGCAAGAAACATTTCAGCACTGCAGCATGGAGGCACACATAACTGAGTGAATATAAAAAGAAGGCAAATTGGAAACTTGCAGCAGTTTCAAAGATTTTCCTGGCATGTGTGCTTGAAAATCTTTTTGCACAAATATACCTTTTTAAAAAGGCAGAATATGTTCAGTTCTTTGCAAGAGTGACTCGCTCCTAAAACAAACATACACTATTATGCTCATAAAAAGGTGCTTTAAACGACGAATACGATTGCTACTTTCACCATACAGTCGTCCTTGCAGATTTCTTTCCTTCAATATTTTGCTTTTCGCAAAAAGGTATTTTGATTACAAAGATTTTGGATATGAGGAGTCAGTGATAACATGAATTTTTTAAGGCTTACAGGTGTCTGTCTGGACGGAAAATTGAGCCTGCCCAAAGATGTCCTCCTCCTCGTGACATTCCTACGTTCAAGCCCCAAAAATGATGCTGTGCTCGAGTGGAGCCTCAAAATCAACAAGGCCGAGGCAGAGTTCAAAGATCAAAACGCAGCAGCTGTCTGCCTCCTCCCATTGCTTGCATCCTACTTTCAAGAAAACCTCGGAGAGCTCTTCCAGTTACATCAGGTAGGAGCATTCATAATAACCAGGCTATTTGTTTCCAAAGACACATCCTCATGACCTTGTTGAAAATAACTTCCTAAAAGTCTCACACAGGCAGTCAGCATTCCACTGAGAAACTATGCATCTGGAAATACTAAACTTTTCTTCATTTTTTGAAATTTTCAGCTATATCAGTCTTCCTGTATACCGTAACATACCGGTCATGCACCTATGTCCGAATAGGCGCCTACCTAGTGATTTTTAACCATTGGAGCAATGCCTTGTACTCTTTCTGCAGTTTCACTTTCTGAGCGACCATCCCCCCACTTTTTCAGAATTGTCTGCAAAATCTTTGTGAACGCTTTCTTGGTATCTGACGACAATGCTGATAATGAGCACGTAAAAAGTGAAATTACTATTGCTCTACGAGGAGCCAAACCTTCCTTAATCTTTTCCTGGCTGAGGTGGCTCAACTTATTATACTTCACATTAGAGTGCAATGGGAAGATATGCAACTCTAGGCTGGGTCATCTTATAGTATGTTCTACATAAATATTTCACTAAACCAAAGGGGGAGCGGCGGTGGGCACCCACTCTTGTACCACTTGCTTCTAATGGGTTCACATGATGTTTTGCATTTTTGGGATCGAGTGTTAGAGTTAACACAAAAATTATGCTAGAGAATTAACTAGTGACAAACGTTTGTACTTCCACTTCGACTCCTAAGTTAGGATCATTTGTTTTTAATATTAGCAACTTCCTTGTCCCGCAGGTGTAACAATGAGGCTTTGTGACAGATATCAGCAGATACATTGCTGCTTATTTAACGTTGTTTTTTAGTTGTTATTGAGCGTTAGGACAACAAATGTTTGTAGTTAAAAATGTCCTTATTAGTGAGAAAATAACAGGAACCGCATCCTTTCCTGTAGGTGGGATGAAGGGTTAAAGGAAATAAGGGTGAGATGAAAATAAAGTGGGTGAGACGAACCTCTTTCACATAAGTGAGGGGTGAATGGAGATTAGCCTTTTGGTATTCCCGAATACCCGTGGGATTAATAGACTCTTTCAAGGTTTGGGGTTCTTGCATGTGTGGGCAGTACCAGGAGTGCGCTTCTGAGACTGTGACCTCGCAGTGGGTGCATAGGCTCTTGTCTTTATCCTGTGTATGGCGGCTTATGCACCATGTTCTTGTGGGTGTTACATTTTGCTGTTTCCTTGGAAACCATAGTGGTGTGGGTCCGTTGTCTTTTCAGGCGCACCTCTTCCCACCTGGTATAATTACCATCTGGGAGTGGGTCTAAGTCTTCTTTGAGTAGAGCCGTGAGGTGTTTTCAGTGGGCCTGTTGTTTGGCTTCCTGGGAGAATGGGGGATCCTTTGTGTCTTTTTCAATGAAGGTGGCGCTGTTGTCACCAAGGATAGTAAGGATAAGGGAAGACAGGAACTCGCATGCG